TTAACGCAACCCGACACTAATAAGCCTGTTGCTGAGAGCTCGGTGACCATTTTCGTTGAAGGCCACACCACTGAATCGAAGATCTGTGGATGCTGTACGGAAGTACGGCGATGAAGAATCACCACACCACGTATTACAATATTTGTAACAATCAGTACTATCAGTGTAACCGGAAACGAAGAAGCCCGAAAAGAAAGAATGATCACAGACGAGCAGCTGGTAGACGAAGTGTGTGTTACTACTTGCTCCTACTCCGTCCGTCAATACTCTGTCCCACAGTCCATAAGCACTGCCTCTATTCCCGTAGTTACCGGTGGCTTTTATTGGTGTCTGGTCACGTTGTGTGAAGTAGGCCTTGCTTCCAGTTTGGTGATCTATAAACATGATTTCTGTAAACTAGAACGAAAAGCAACAGCGAAATAAGGGCTGAAAGAGGCTATGATGAACTAAGAGTTAAGGTCACCTGCATTTACAATACAATACAATACTTTTTTTATTAATTCTCCCCGAGGGGCTTTTCAGAATTAATTTACAATATGTATATATAATACAACTAAAACTAATGATATACACGTTCTTGATATATAAATAACAACTTAAAATTACTACTTCTAATAATAATTAACAATGTAATAAAATACTATGATATGTATACCGGTATCCTATTTCTACATTAATGCTGTCTTTGCATGCTACCGCTTTTTAAATGATCTCAATAATCGGGCAGTTCTAGTGTTGTTACTGACACTATTTCACGCTTTTGTTGCCCTATAAAAGAAGCCACTCTGGGCAGCCGCTGTCCGGCATCCTGGCAGGTTTAGACCTTCACTGTTGAGGAGATTGTAAGGGTGCGCATTGGATCGCTTCCCTATTTTACAGCTAATATATGCTGGCACTAAATTGTTAACACATTTGTACATCATTGTCACCTCCCGCAACCAAAGTTGCTCCTCTATAGTCAGCCAGCCAAGAGCTTTCAGGGCCGGGGTAATATGCTCGTATTTCCCTGTGTCAGTTAGTATACGGGCAGCAAAGTTCTGCATAAGTTTTAGTTTATGGATGTTCTGTTTGTAACAGCCCATAAAGCGGAACAGTAAAATAATTTACTGCACACAACAGAGTTGATCATTATATACAAAACTTCTTTGGAAAACAGGTGGCGGACCCTACTTATTTGGCACAAACTAGATAGCAAGGATGACGATAATGATGAGATGTGATTATTGAATGTTAAGCTAGAGTCAAGGGTAACATCCAGATCTTTGGCGGACGAGACAGGGCATAGTTGTTGTCCAAGGAAGGATGAAGTGACATAGGTAGCTTTGATACAAGTTGCCGTGTTCCAAAGAGCACAAGTTTAGTTTTATCCGCGTTTATAAGCAGGTGATTTGCGCCGCATTTGATTCAGAACTGACCCTGGAACTCAGAACTGTTTTCCAGAACCTTTGCCAGTTTTTCAATAGGTAACTCAATAAAGCCATTCAAAGCAATTAATCAACTTACTTTGATATTGTTGCAGTTCGTTCTGTACCCGTCAGTTCCATATGGAAATGTGGCATTGTACTTGACCTCAGTCCTGGGTTTGGCGTATTCATCGGTGGTGTAACACATGGTCCATCCTCCATTGTATGACGTCATGTCACAGTAAGCCAGGAAGGCGTTTGAATGGCTTTCTCCATCAGGGTCTAACCAGTACATACCGTCTCCCTTAGAATGACCTTTCATTTTTATATCTTGGCAGCCGTTAACTCCTATCACAAATAATACAGGTAATACGAATGATGTTTTAGTCCAGTAAGATCAGTATCAGTTTAGTTTCAGTTCACTTCGTCACAAAAAAATTAATTTCTATACATTGCACATATGAAAGAAAAAGTTGAAGCTCAATGGTAATTATTTTCCTGGCGAGGAAGCGCAAATTGGAACTGTGAGCTCCCTTCCTAATTTAAGACTACACAGACTCATATGTCGCCAAATAAACTTGCAACCTTCCAAATGAGATATTCAGTAGTTATTGACCTGGACATAGCCTTCCCCGCACTGGGAAGGATTGCGCCAGTGACGAGCCAAAAGGACGTCTACGTAGGAGGAACCTAGACAAAGCTCCTCGAAGACCGCCGAGGGCCAACTCAGGGTTGGAATTGTTGCATAACGAGCCGCACCGTCTTAGCAACCAAAAAAATTTTGTTTATCAAGCTGAGATAGGGGACTAAAAGTCCCCTATCTCAGCTGGATACTCAGAAGCTTGTAACATTCACTATTCCATTTATCTCTGATCATATTTCGCATCTAATACGATAGAGGCGTCAATTTTCGCGCCATCATGTCATCATTCTAGGGCGAGAAATTTAATTAAAGCGCGGCATTAAACAAATGTACGGCTCAAGTTTCGGCTAAAATTATTCAGTGCCGTCAAAGAAAAAAACATATTATTAAGGTCTGCGTATAAAGTCGATCACATTGCTAACACAGACAAAAACGCTTAAATATCTCCTACAAAATGAACGGCTGAGTTTGGTTTTTCTACGGGTCAAACTGCTACTATATATCCCAGAAGCGCTCAGGCATAATAATATGCCAGGACTTCTACCTGGATGAACCAGAAAGGATATAGAACAACTGCCTAAATTTTTTTTTACGGCTACGGGTTGAAATGCTAAACGTGTTATATATCCTAGAAGCGCTCAGGCATAATGATATCATGCCAGGACTTCTACCTGGATGAACCAGAAAGGATATAGAACAACTACCTAATTGTTTTTTACGGCTACGGGTTGAAATGCTAAACGTGTTATATATCCTAGAAGCGCTCAGGCATAATAATATGCCAGGACTTCTACCTGGATGAACCAGAAAGGATATAGAACAACTGCCTAAATTTTTTTTACGGCTACGGGTCGAAATGCTAAACGTGTTATATATCCTAGAAGCGCTCAGGCATAATGATATCATGCCAGGACTTCTACCTGGATGAACCAGAAAGGATATAGAACAACTGCCTGATTGTTTTTTACGGCTACGGGTTGAAATGCTAAACGTGTTATATATCCTAGAAGCGCTCAGGCATAATGATATCATGCCAGGACTTCTACCTGGATGAACCAGAAAGGATATAGAACAACTGCCTAAATTTTTTTTTTTACGGCTACGGGTTGAAATGCTAAACGTGTTATATATCCTAGAAGCGCTCAGGCATAATGATATCATGCCAGGACTTCTACCTGGATGAACCAGAAAGGATATAGAACAACTGCCTTATTGTTTTTTACGGCTACGGATCGAAATGCTAAACGTGTTATATATCCTAGAAGCGCTCAGGCATAATGATATCATGCCAGGACTTCTACCTGGGTGAACCAGAAAGGATATAGAACAACTGCCTAAATTTTTTTTTACGGCTACGGGTCGAAATGCTAAACGTGTTATATATCCTAGAAGCGCTCAGGCATAATGATATCATGCCAGGACTTCTACCTGGATGAACCAGAAAGGATATAGAACAACTGCCTAATTGTTTTTTACGGCTACGGGTCGAAATGATAAACGTGTTATATATCCTAGAAGCGCTCAGGCATAATGATATCATGCCAGGACTTCTACCTGGATGAACCAGAAAGGATATAGAACAACTGCCTAAATTTTTTTTTACGGCTACGGGTCGAAATGCTAAACGTGTTATATATCCTAGAAGCGCTCAGGCATAATGATATCATGCCAGGACTTCTACCTGGATGAACCAGAAAGGATATAGAACAACTGCCTGATTGTTTTTTACGGCTACGGGTTGAAATGCTAAACGTGTTATATATCCTAGAAGCGCTCAGGCATAATGATATCATGCCAGGACTTCTACCTGGATGAACCAGAAAGGATATAGAACAACTGCCTAAATTTTTTTTTTTAAAGCTACGGGTTGAAATGCTAAACGTGTTATATATCCTAGAAGCGCTCAGGCATAATAATATGCCAGGACTTCTACCTGGATGAACCAGAAAGGATATAGAACAACTGCCTAAATTTTTTTTAACGGCTACGGGTTGAAATGCTAAACGTGTTATATATCCTAGAAGCGCTCAGGCATAATGATATCATGCCAGGACTTCTACCTGGATGAACCAGAAAGGATATAGAACAACTGCCTAATTGTTTTTTACGGCTACGGGTCGAAATGATAAACGTGTTATATATCCTAGAAGCGCTCAGGCATAATGATATCACGCCAGGACTTCTACCTGGATGAACCAGAAAGGATATAGCACAACTGCCTAAATTTTTTTTTACGGCTACGGGTCGAAATGCTAAACGTGTTATATATGCTAGAAGCGCTCAGGCATAATGATATCATGCCAGGACTTCTACCTGGGTGAACCAGAAAGGATATAGAACAACTACCTAATTGTTTTTTACGGCTACGGGTTGAAATGCTAAACGTGTTATATATCCTAGAAGCGCTCAGGCATAATAATATGCCAGGACTTCTACCTGGATGAAGCAGAAAGGATATAGAACAACTGCCTAAATTTTTTTTAACGGCTACGGGTTGAAATGCTAAACGTGTTATATATCCTAGAAGCGCTCAGGCATAATGATATCATGCCAGGACTTCTACCTGGATGAACCAGAAAGGATATAGAACAACTGCCTAAATTTTTTTTTTTACGGCTACGGGTTGAAATGCTAAACGTGTTATATATCCTAGAAGCGCTCAGGCATAATGATATCATGCCAGGACTTCTACCTGGATGAACCAGAAAGGATATAGAACAACTGCCTTATTGTTTTTTACGGCTACGGATCGAAATGCTAAACGTGTTATATATCCTAGAAGCGCTCAGGCATAATGTTATCATGCCAGGACTACTACCTGGATGAACCAGAAAGGATATAGAACAACTGCCTGATTGTTTTTTACGGCTACGGGTTGAAATGCTAAACGTGTTATATATCCTAGAAGCGCTCAGGCATAATGATATCATGCCAGGACTTCTACCTGGATGAACCAGAAAGGATATAGAACAACTGCCTAAATTTTTTTTTTTTTACGGCTACGGGTTGAAATGCTAAACGTGTTATATATCCTAGAAGCGCTCAGGCATAATAATATGCCAGGACTTCTACCTGGATGAACCAGAAAGGATATAGAACAACTGCCTAAATTTTTTTTAACGGCTACGGGTTGAAATGCTAAACGTGTTATATATCCTAGAAGCGCTCAGGCATAATGATATCATGCCAGGACTTCTACCTGGATGAACCAGAAAGGATATAGAACAACTGCCTAATTGTTTTTTACGGCTACGGGTCGAAATGATAAACGTGATATATATCCTAGAAGCGCTCAGGCATAATGATATCATGCCAGGACTTCTACCTGGATGAACCAGAAAGGATATAGCACAACTGCCTAAATTTTTTTTTACGGCTACGGGTCGAAATGCTAAACGTGTTATATATCCTAGAAGCGCTCAGGCATAATGATATCATGCCAGGACTTCTACCTGGGTGAACCAGAAAGGATATAGAACAACTACCTAATTGTTTTTTACGGCTACGGGTTGAAATGCTAAACGTGTTATATATCCTAGAAGCGCTCAGGCATAATAATATGCCAGGACTTCTACCTGGATGAAGCAGAAAGGATATAGAACAACTGCCTAAATTTTTTTTAACGGCTACGGGTTGAAATGCTAAACGTGTTATATATCCTAGAAGCGCTCAGGCATAATGATATCATGCCAGGACTTCTACCTGGATGAACCAGAAAGGATATAGAACAACTACCTAAATTTTTTTTTACGGCTACGGGTTGAAATGCTAAACGTGTTATATATCCTAGAAGCGCTCAGGCATAATGATATCACGCCAGGACTTCTACCTGGATGAAGCAGAAAGGATATAGAACAACTGCCTAAATTTTTTTTCAAAGCTACGGGTCGAAATGCTAAACGTGTTATATATCCTAGAAGCGCTCAGGCAAAATGATATCATGCCAGGACTTCTACCTGGATGAACCAGAAAGGATATAGAACAACTGCCTAAATTTTTTTTAACGGCTACGGGTTGAAATGCTAAACGTGTTATATATCCTAGAAGCGCTCAGGCATAATGATATCATGCCAGGACTTCTACCTGGATGAACCAGAAAGGATATAGAACAACTGCCTAATTGTTTTTTACGGCTACGGGTCGAAATGATAAACGTGTTATATATCCTAGAAGCGCTCAGGCATAATGATATCATGCCAGGACTTCTACCTGGATGAACCAGAAAGGATATAGCACAACTGCCTAAATTTTTTTTTATGGCTACGGGTCGAAATGCTAAACGTGTTATATATGCTAGAAGCGCTCAGGCATAATGATATCATGCCAGGACTTCTACCTGGGTGAACCAGAAAGGATATAGAACAACTACCTAATTGTTTTTTACGGCTACGGGTTGAAATGCTAAACGTGTTATATATCCTAGAAGCGCTCAGGCATAATAATATGCCAGGACTTCTACCTGGATGAACCAGAAAGGATATAGAACAACTGCCTAAATTTTTTTTAACGGCTACGGGTTGAAATGCTAAACGTGTTATATATCCTAGAAGCGCTCAGGCATAATGATATCATGCCAGGACTTCTACCTGGATGAACCAGAAAGGATATAGAACAACTACCTAATTTTTTTTTTACGGCTACGGGTTGAAATGCTAAACGTGTTATATATCCTAGAAGCGCTCAGGCATAATGATATCACGCCAGGACTTCTACCTGGATGAAGCAGAAAGGATATAGAACAACTGCCTTTTTCTTCTACCCGTCGAAGTTCTAAACGTGTTATTCTTAGAAGCGCTCAGGCTTAATAATATGCCAGGTTTCCAGCGACTGATTTTAGCTGATTTTGCGGTGCGCAAGAATGGATAATTTACCCGACTTGTAAACAGATATTTCCTTCAGCCGATTGTGTCTCATGCAGGAGAATTTCATGTCTGCGTTGTTTTGTTTCTACTGAAGTTTTATCAAAGAAAGCTTAAGCGAAAATAGGGAGATCGCAATTTATACTCTTACGAACTATAAATTAGGGCTGACCTGGAAGACGCGTTGAATTGTGCCGCCATCCTTCAAAATATAACCTGGCTGCGTTTAGGGAGACAATTTCCTCTTCCATCCAGATGTACTTGGTATATGTGTTTGCGCGAATCTTCAGACAAAGAATTGGGTATACACTGATTCGAATGGCTTGGCGATACTAAGTGCTTAAGTCTACTTACCGATTACAACATGTTTTGGAAGTATTGAGAAGCGCGCCAAACGAAGTTGTCACAGCGTTCTCGAGCGAACACGGCGCGACCTGGATTGATAAAAATTACCATTACATGCAGGTATCATGCCAGTGATATCTCCTTTCGTCGCATAGTGAATAGTTTGTGAGCACATCCTCGACTCTCGAAACATTTGTCTTGCGCCGCTATAGAAGTTGCTTCTCCCGCGAACCATAGGTAGATTTCCCGCTTAACATAACGTTTGATAATTTATGCAAAAGTTGACCTCGTGGAAGTCAGCAGTGCATTAATCGACTCAAAAATAAACAGACTTCCTACAGGGTTTTGAACACGGTTTTAATTAAAGTACTTTACGAGCGCTGCGGTAGTTGACCGCAAAAGTGTTACGGTGATGGATACTCAACGGGATGATTACGTCACTTCATAGCAACCAGACGGTACGAATTTTTTAACTTCCGGAGCGCTGAGGCTCGTAGTGGTTCTTGGTTTTACTGTCTTACTAGCCTGCGTAGCAAGCGTTTCAGTGCGGTTTAGGAGCAAAGAACGAGGAACAAGAGTCAAAGACCGCGCGAAAAATGTTTGAAGTAAAAGAACGGGGAGGGTTCTCGTTTAACTTCTTGCGCGATCAAAACCGAAAATCCCCTTCCACGGTCTCCTTTTGCTCCGAAACCAAACGGAAACGCTTGCTACGCAGGCTACTGTCTTACTGACTTTTTTGGACTGTCATGTTGTGTAGGCGTAACTGGGTGTCTCCGTTAAGGCTCGGTGCTCTCTTATAGAAAGATGTCTTCCTACACAAGAGCGTTTTCTCGCCGTTTTGTTTTAAATTTTACCCTTTAAACCTTGGCTTCAGTTAAATTTCGAGCTACTCTGGCCTAACCTAAAAATTTAGGTGGGTTAGGAAAAGTTTCCATTGCCCATAAAAAAAGTTGACATTATGACGAACATGCAGTTTTAACGTTGCCTACCGTGTTCACAGCGTATACCGGTGACATACGCCGGGCACAAACAACGGAATCCTTTTTCTGTAAATCCAGCTTGGCATGTTCCACCGTTCTCACAAGGAGCTTTATCACAAGCACTCTTTAGATAAAAGGTAATACTAGAAGTTAGGTAGTAGAAGAAAAGAATATGAAAAAAGAAAGCAAAGAACTGAAAGAGGAAAAAAGTCAGGTTCAAGACCGGCCTCACTGCTAGCTGGATTTGTTCTCGGTGGTTCTGAGTTCAAATCCTCGACCAAACTTGTTATTAGCTTGCTGGCTTGATTCCGGCCAGTTGGGATTCTTCCCCTATAACGTTTGATTTAAAATGATTTGTCTAAGACATTTTCCCAGCCCCACTAGCATTAATTGCTATAAATGACTGCCCGAAGAGTAAATAACGGATTTTTTTCATTAATCGGGTGTGCTGACCTCTCGGCCACGCTGCCAATTTTCTAATTCCAATTCGTATCCCAATTTTATAATCTGTAAAGGGCATAGATATCACTGCAGATATTCTTTTGTTCCTTTGTAGAGGAACTTCATAACTGCCTACCTCTGCTCCACGATAAACGTATCCTTTTGCGTCCACGAAATCCTGATCGTGTCCCAGATGGGTTGAATTGTTTAATTCACAGTTGTATGAGCTGCCTCCTGCTACCGAGCGCACTTCGTATTTAAAATCAATGCTAACACAATTCGGTTCCTGGTAGCACAGCAGTTCACAGATATCTATGTCCAGGACTTGGCTTGTTCTAATCGTGTGGCCTTTCAGACGTTTATCAGTGTAGGAGAAAGAGGCCGGGAACTTCAATTTACGGCATTCACCTGAAAGATTGCCATTATTAATACTGATTACCCGGGAACCCTAGGAGAGCTTGCTCGCGGGCTAATACTGATTGTCGGCGCTGTACAGGTGCACAAGCGTGACCACGTAAGAGAGGTTAGGCCATATGCACCTGGTTTGCTTGATATATCTGTCTATTCACTTCTGTCGTACCTCGCCCAATGCAAGGGGAATCCGCACTCCGAAATCCGGGAAATTTTGGCCGCTTGTTGAATCCGGAGTTGTGGGCTTTTTGGAATCCATAAATCAGCTCAAGGAATGCCATTAAAGATTGGAGTCCGGAATTTGAATTCCTTTTACAAAGTCAGGAATCCATTACCTGGAATGTGGAATTCACTTCGAGGAATTTAGAATCCAATCTTGACTGTCTTGGATTCCCTTGCATGGGGTGACATTTCGCCTTGGTGCAAATGAGAAGCTTTAATTGTCAAAAAATTGTTGTCTATCTTTGCTCAAATCATGTTTAAATGTGCGCAGGTGAAATTTGGGAAACTGCCCACCTACCCCTCCCCTAACTCAACGTTAACATTTGCGTCTTACTTGGGCAAAATGTTGGGTTAGGGGAGGGGTATGTGGGTAGTTTCGCAGAAACCTAAATTGATCTAAAATATAAAGTTGTCGTATATTACGCAAATCTGTAAAATTGAAACTTTTTCGTCGGAATTATAGCTCATGGAATATAATTTTCTATTTACAGGCTACACAAAGTTGTCAGCTTTTGTGATGAGGCCAACAGAAGGCGTGGCCGCACAAAAAATATAGGCAAATTGCTATGCACTATCTGTAAATTGTACAGAATGCGTAGTGACGCAGTCAATTTCAAATGTACCCATCCCCCGGGGCATTGGGAACGAATTTCCATTGTCGAATTTCGTAATTTCTACCACTTTTAAAAAAGGAAGACTATTTCGTATTATGAGTACGTAACCACAGCTGTTTAAGAAAGATGTTGTCACTCATAACTCTTAGGGGTTTTATTGTAATATTGTTGCTCTTACCGAACTGGCCAATGGACGGAGTAAGCACAGCTATTGTAGACATTCTGGAAAGGCGAGCAATCTATTGTGGAGAATAAACTGCGGTGGGCGGGGCTCAGTTTGGAAAGCTTTGCAAAGAATTTGAATAGAAAGTGTCACTGTTTCAAAGATTGCATGGAAGGTTTGTATAAAAAGATGACCCTATCTGAAAAAAGACATCCATCTTCACAGTCTGCAGAACTGCACAGCGTTGCAACATTGTTGCGACATTGTTTCGAAATGAAAGCGCTCAGGCCACCAATATTTTATGAATAAAATACAGTTTATTTTCATTAAGCGCTCAGATGTTGTTGCCTGGGTTGTATTTGTGACAGTTAATACTGGTGCGTTCATTATATTCACTTCGTGGATTTGAGGTTTTACAGCCTCTTTCACAGGCAAGATTTTTGCTTTGTCTCCGAGAAGGTGGGACATTTGCTCACATTTTCAAGCCCAAATATGGGCGTTATTATAACAGATCTGCTGGTCTCATCGTGGGCATTTACAGCTAATTGTTTCGGCCGAAAAGATAATAAATGCCCGGGGAGGTAGGGGCCATTGGTTACCATGATGCATTTCCATTGTAATTGCTAATAACTACACCGTTATTTTTTGGCGTTGTTTTTAATATGTGACTCTATCTTGGAGTGACATATCTTAATGCACTTTCAGTTAATAATGAGGACTGTAAAAAGATGCTGTTGCTGGCAACCAAGGCCGTAGCCAGCCCATAGACCCAGGGCCTACAAATTTTTGTTTTGATCACTCTACCGCTTGTAATAAATTATGCGTTGTTGGGATGACCTAAAAAGCTTAAGAGATCAAAGTGTTGGTGAGGTTCATGCGTGCAATTTTCAGCATATGTGGAAATAAAAGTCATCCAGGTCTTCAACTAGTCAAAAAGTTGGCTACGCCCCTGGCAACAGAGACAAGCTGTCATCGAAATACCACCTGCAAAACGGTTTACGACACATCTCGAGAACTAAATATTGGCTTTAGTAAAAATGTATTAATTGTCCCGCCATGATCATTGGCTCTACCACCACTTTTCTATATTCTTTCTTTCTTTTTATAAAAGAAAAGGTAGAATATACTGAGAGCTGGCTAAATTTTTTATGCCAGTATTAAATGAACATAAAAGAGACCTAAAAAAAATAAACCTGTCGATGATGTAAAAAATAAGCTTACTGACAGCGCAAATTATCTCTGAATACCCAGATGTGCTAGTTAACAAACATAGGCTTAAACGAAAGCAATGTATGGAAACTTTAATACAATGAAATTGATGGCAAAGAAATAGTGTATAATTCTCATTTCTTAAAGTGGAGTGAAAATTGCAAGCAACGTTTCACTGTGGTTGTCGTTTAAGTAATTTTTCCGTTTGATTAACGCAATCCATCAGCTCATATACAAAGATTAAATCAACTCAAAGACTTGTTTTCCGCGATATATTTGGGGCACATTCAGTTCAGTTTAACAATAAAAATATTAGTTGAGTTTTTTATATTCTTCCCGGGGCTACTACTGCTATTGTAATTTCAGCTGTTGTTAACTCTCAAAAACGCACACCAAATATTTCTGCTTCTGCAAAAAAACTGATTAAGTTCGACAAAAAACTAATCGAGAACAGTTTTTTTTGTTAAGTTTGAAGAAAGAGGCTGAGGTTTTCCTAAGTTATGTTTGGCTGATGCTGTCTGTTCGTGAAGTTCTGAACTTTATTTATAATCCCACTTTGCATATAGATTAAAAAAAAATCTAATTCCGTACTCAACTTTGAAAAGTATTGGATGGGTCAAACACGGGAACCTTTTACAGCCGAGAGTGAGTCATATGTAAGGTTTCCGTAATTTTGGCGTGATTTTCTAAGCTATAGATAATTCCAACGTTTATCGTGACATTTTCTTAATCACGCGTGGTTAGAGAAAACAAGAATAGTATCAAGAACTCAACACTTACCGGTCAAAGCTAAAAACAAAAGAGATACGAAAATCTCAAAATGACCAGATGAGACCATCCTGGTTCTCCCTCACTTCTCAGTCGAATAAAACGGTCAAACCTTTTAAAAATATAAGCAGCTATAAGCACTAGTCGTGTCTCAATATTTTTTTCATATACCGCAGGTTGCTTGTAATAATACCGTATGTATGTTATTTGTTAACCAATCGCTATTTGGTGTTTATTATAAGCAGCTGTCTGATAATATTTTCGTGTATAAGAATTAGTTAAGGTGGCTCGATGAGGTTTTTCAGGGCTAGTACCTTTCAAGTTTGAGCATTAACTACGTTACTCGCCATCGATAAAGATCTAGAAAAATTACCACCACGGAGCCGCCAAAACTTTAATCATACAATACACAATAGCGCCAGCTGCGCAGGCTATAGATAAAGATGATCAGGGTTGCAATGACATCAGAGTTGTCATAACAACGAAATGACGCCGTTACTTAATTTACGTGCAGCCACAGTAGTTAATCAAGAAAAGGTTTGATTCGTTCTTGGTAGGAACTTCTCAGGGGCTAATAAGTAAAATGAAAAAACAGGACTTTTCACATTTATGCTAGCTCGATATGTCAGGACTAAGCTCGGGGAATCATTTGCTCGTAATACCGAGATTCCAGTTGAAGTTGCCTTGTCCGCATGCTGATAGAGTCTTAAACTAAGTTCTGTTGACGAGGTGAAACAAGCAAAGGAGTAAATACATTACTAATATTGTTTTTTTAAACAAATTAATTATAAATAGCCAATCATATTACCCGACAGTTTTTTTTTTCTCAGCACTGTGAGACATCCCGTCGCAAAGTATAGATAGTCACAACTGAATCGGCGCTGCAATCGATCTACATGACTCTCATTCGATGGAAGTTCGGCGTATAAGTCTTTGTAACGACAAAAATGACTTCCTTCGGGGCAGTAGGATTCGATATGGTCTTGTTTTGCATCTTTATGAATCTCTTCGTTACTAACAGTGCTTGTTAGCGAAGTATATTAGTCTGGCTGGCACGAAAAGTTTAAAGCGACAATCAGAAAATGGTTTGGCTTTCGCTACCTTTGGTGTTCAAAAATTCCGCCACTTAAACATTACGCCTTGCTCTCGGCTTCGTGAAAAATGTTAAAGACTGCGTTAAACTTTGTGTCGCGATCATCCATCGTCTTTCTCCGCCAATTTTGTGGCTTTCTTTCGCGAGAGGAAGGACTGATTTTACGTGAGCTTCTACCAAGCGATAAATATAACAACTCCGACAAGTTTCTTGACTGCACTGTGTTCTAGCACCTAAGCAAAATAAAAGGAGAAAAGGGAAAGAGGAAAGAAACGACAGAACAAACATTGAAACTGCATACTCCTACAAAGTAGAAATCAAGCTTTAAAATTCAAGTTTTTTTGTGTCGAGCAGACGCTTGCCAGGTTTCGTTTAAAAAAGCAAGATTTCACGACTTTGCCAGATTTTCCTTTACGTTTTCCTTTTCCACCAAATTTAATAACCAGTTTTTCCGCCATAAATGTTCACTCGCCCAAGACCTTTTTAGATATTTGATAATGTTAATAAACCACACAAGTCCCAAATGCCCTGAGGTGTATACGGTAAACAACCCTTGTTCTTGCTACATTGACACGTGCAGTAAGAAACTGATCCAATCAGAAATTATTATTCAAATCAAAACGTTGTTTAGCGCCACATTCACATATTGTTAACTTTGGTTGCGGACATGCTGGCTTGCTCACGATAGAGAAACAGGGCGCTCCCACAATAAACTGGCTATCTGTCTTTCTCAGCTTCACTACAAGAAAGCTAACTACGAAAAGTGGTTTAATTTGCCTGGGATGTTAAAACCAGCGAACGAGGTAAATTACTAAGTTAAAGTTTTGTTATTCTCAGTTCTGTTTGACTTTTGACATTTGTATTCCGGCAAGTCCAACTTAAAATTAAGTTATTTCGTTGTCGAATGTTTTCGTTTTGAAGTTAACTTATTTTTCATGAAAGGAGAAATAGGGAGAGAAATGTAAGCAAATGTTCGAACAAAATTTTTGGATGATTTTGAAACCCCTATGCAGCTCGTACATGCCCGGGTCGTATACACGTGGCTGTTACTAAAATACAAGCGAAGCGCTCAGTGGAGACATCAATGTCCAGATAAAGTATCAATTTAACCGGGCAATTCATGTCTTGGTATTCTTCAAAGTTCATATTGGTGACCAAGAAAGGAAGTTACAAAAACGACAAATTTTACTCTATTTTCCTCGGTGTACAACAGCGAGATTTTGACAGAGTTAAGATCACAAAATGAGGCCACCGCACTTTTAAATAAAGATGGACCTGAGCTATTACGGAAAGCCTGGAAGTTTGCATAAGATGTTTTCGTAAAGTTCTATCTATTAAACAGAAGTTTGTATTTAACAGAATAAGGAAAAAGAAGCATATGATTCAAATGAATGTTGAAGATAGGAAATACGAGGCGCCGTGGTTGTCAAAGTCTTAACAGGGCAATTTCGGAAAACCTTTTTGTAAACTGCTACTCGGTATTGGTTTCTATTTTAAACATGTTGGAATATCTGAGGTTTATTAAGGCCATCGACGGCTTTCTAACGTTAGATGAGATTGCTCTTAAATTCGAACGAACTTTAGTTAAATGAATAAAATGAATAAGAGATACATACATGCAAACAACGTAGTTTAAAATGGCTGTAAAGAGTTAAAATGATAATTAGACTACTGTGACAATAGACGGAGCGAAACGCACCAACTACTGATTACGAGTCTTCATAGCCAATAACATCACGGCTTAACTGACAGACGACCAATAACATCGCGACATAATTGACCAATCAGATCAATAACCAGAGTATAATACCATCAACTGACGTGATACAACTCACTTTGACTCTGAAGATGACTACCGCACAGGTTGTCAAAACGTCAGTCACTGTCAACAACAACTGTCCTATTCAGGACTACGTTCACCCGGACGATCAAACTCAACCTACTTTTGAAATGACTCCTGGGTTCAAACCTTTCCCAATTAGACTTTT